CATGCAGACACTCTCTCTCTCATGCACTCACTCTCCCTCAAAAAGATGTCTCTCTCTCTCTCTCTCTCTCTCTCTCTCTCTCTCTCTCTCTCTCTCTCTCTCTCTCTCTCTCTCTCTCTCTCTCAGAAAAATGTTAGGCAAATACCCCTCCCAACCCCTTCCCAGTGCCCCTCGGCCACGGTGGACGAGAGGGTAAAGGCGCCAGGGTCGAACGCGCGACCACGGCTTCGGATACGTGGTCGCGGGTTCGAACCCCCAAAAGGGAGCAAAAAAGGCTCCCTCTGATTGCAACACTGCCCGGGGCTGAAAGACATGAAAAGCTCCGGGCTTAAAAAAGAGCGCCGTTGCAATCAGTTTTGGTTTTCGACTGCCCTCTGCGTGTGTTCAAGTGCCTTTGTTTACACACAATTGCGGGACACTTTTTTTAAAAGACAGATCGCGAGTGAAAGGTGGAGTGCACACCGCGTAGAATTTCGGGACAGGAAGCTTAAAGAGAAAAATACTTGGAAGGGATACGAGTCGCGGATGGAAAATGAAATTAAAAAAAGCAAATCGGAATAACAGAGTAAAGAGTAAAGATGAGAGAGAGTCGATTAATGTGCTTGGTAGTTGGGTCATTTCCAGCAGTTCCGTGGCCGTGGAGAGCGAGGGTTCGATTCCCGGTGGATTTGCCTTTTATGAAGCTTGGACAGGAAAATGAGCGTGTGTTTCTCTTGAAATTTTAGGCGGAATGCATGGGACACAAAAATCCAAAATGGCCGCCGCTCGTCATTTCGAATATTATTATTTATCTTTTTATTTATTTTTATATTTTTTTTTTTTTTTTTTGCCAGGATAAAGGTTTGTGGGTTTGTTTAGGCTGAAAAGTTTATATTTGACATCTGTTTCATAGTAAACCGCTGTCGTGACCTTTGAATCATGGATAGCTAGCCATTTTTTGTCACCTATGATCTAATCAAAGCTCCTTTTATGCTCACTTGAATGATAGATGATCAAATTGTGAAATATCTTGTTCTTTTTATTAATTCCCGAAAATCTCTACTTTATTTTGCTTTTTTTCTTTGTTTACTGTTTATTTCAATTGGCTTTCCTTCGTTTTTCTCGTTTTATAATTAAGTCTTTTCTTAGGCCGTTGATGGCAGGTAAAATCTCCCTCTATCATTGTAAATCTTTGTCTATATCTCTCTATATGTCTGCCTATCTATTTGTTTATCAGTCTATCTACCTATCTCATTATCTGTCTTATACGTATATTACTACCTATCTATTTATTTATCTATCTATATACATATTAGTGACTTCTCTTTATGAATATTGTATGTATGTATCAAGTCATACGTACACACGAACAAACACTCACATACACTTGTGTACATAGGCAAGGATATTAGACGAATTAATTGGAGACAAAAAAAAGAATAAGATTTTTTTTTCAATATATATTCTAAAGAGAGAGAGAGAGAGAGAGAGAGAGAGAGAGAGAGAGAGAGAGAGAGAGAGAGAGAGAGAGAGAGAGAGAGAGAGAGAGAGAGAGAGAGAGAGAGAGAGAGAGAGAGAGAGAGAGAGAGAGAGAGAGAGAGTTTGTATGTTTCTCTCTATAAGCCCAATCATCATAAACCAGGACATGTTATGCACGCATAATTACTATTTTCCTTCCTTCTCTTTGTACTTGGAATCTAATTACTGTCACGCACATGGATACAATCTGAAACACACCCACACAAACATACACATGTACACACACACACAAAGGGTAAATAGGAGAGAGAGTCGATTAATGTGCTTGGTAGTTGGGTCATTTCCAGCAGTTCCGTGGCCGTGGAGAGCGAGGGTTCGATTCCCGGTGGATTTGCCTTTTATGAAGCTTGGACAGGAAAATGAGCGAGTGTGTCCCTCGCGAAATTTTGGGCCGAATCCGTGAGATAAAAAAAAGAAAAAGGAAATCAAAATGGCCGCCGTCCGTCATTTCGAAGATTTTAATTGTTGCTCGGATGAAGGTTTCTGGGTTTCAGCTGAAAGGTCCAAATTTGACGTCGGTTTGAGGATAAAAAATCTATCTTGACCTTTAAATCACCTATAGTTAGTGATCTTCATCGTATCCTATTCGATTCTAATGAAATGTTTTTTGTACTCACTTAAAATATAGATAATAAAATTACACACAATTTCTTAATTATGTTGATTGATTTCCGAAAATTACTTTTTCGTGTTCTTTGTTCTTTGTTTATTATTTATGTTTTCATATAACTGTTGTTTGGTTGCTGTTTACGATTATGAATATCTTATCATATCCTATTAGGTTCTAGTCAAAGGTCTTTTTACTCTCAATTAAAATGTAGATAATAAAACTACAAACAATGTATTATTACTATTGTTATTATTATTATTATTAATTTTATCAATTTGCGAAAATTACTTCTTCGTTTTCTTTGTTTATCATTTATGTGTTCATATAACTGTTCTTTGGATGTTTTCGTTTATGATTTTGAATATTTTTCTT